TAAACTAGAAGCTCGGTCATGCAAATGTTGCATTCGATGCGTTTCGAGACTAAGAGCTGTCTCTTCCTCAGTGGTGCTCAAAGAGGCATGATATCTGTAGCCAAGAAGCTAAAAATGTTGATTCTCATGATGCAATAAATAGTATTCAAAGGCCTCTCACGACATGGATGATGATCCAGTGCAAGGAAAAGGAAAATGAGTGACTGCCCAAAACGTCTCCTGGAGGGGCCCCACCCAAAACACATCAATGGCGAACCCGCAGCGTTCCACACATAGATGCAAATGGGAGGATGCTGTGCTGGAATAAATAATAACGCATATAAATGTAAATAATAGAAAAAAATCACGATATACCAGAACATCACTTACTATTTGTAATGCCAAGTCCACTTACTGGAGGGAACCGGAAAAGTGACTTGGCTCTAAATGAATCCAAAAAGGATTTACCGAGGAGGAAAAAAGAGGGGGGACCACTTCCGGGTCGTTTGGCTATAATAGATAAAAAGTTTAGGTCACAAATATTCAGAAAGAAGTCATCAGCAAAAAGTGTCAAATATGCCTTTAAAAATTATGTTAAATTGGTCCAGCAAGATGTAAAAATTGTCTATATATACCTAGAAGCAATGTCGTGCTATATACAAAAGCCAGGCTGCATCAGCCATGTATGGGCTTGATGGCCAGCTTAAATGCCCCACAGAAGACTTGAGATTGCTCCAATGGGATTACAGGGAACAAGTGACAGGCTGAATCAGAGCCTATCATGGCCCTCGGCCAATCACAGCAGCCTCTTCCTGGCAACAGGCTGTGTGGCATTGTCACGTCGACGTGGCGTGATGATGTCAGGCCGATGCCCACGCGCAGACTAGAGCCTGGAAGAGGGGTGGACAGGAGAGAGATTGACCAAGCCTCTCTCTGATGGAGTAACACTGTGCCGACTCCCACACCCGGCAAATGAGGCCAGAGACCCCGGAAAGTGAGAACAAAAACAAAGGAAAAGTGTGAAAAATAAAAGAAAAAAGAGCAAATGTAGAGAATGAAAAACAAAAGCTGGAGCAATAAATGGGAAAATGGAAGGGGGAAGAGAAAGGAAAGAGAGAGTCAGAACCAAACACCGTTAAATAAAGACCTGCAATGAGAGAACACAAATACTCCTAAAGCATAACCTTAATGCACAGTATTTTAAATAAATATATACTGTACATACACAAAAGTGCATATATAGTCTATGTACAAAAAAAAAAAAGAGGGAAAGGGAAAAAGGCAGGGAATGAAAAAAATCCCTCCAAAAATGACTTGAATGACATGACTTCATTCAGCCCTGGAAGGCATTAAGTCTATGAATCCATCTGAGTTCACGTTGGAGCAAATTCTTGTTCCAATCGCTCCCCCATGAGCTTGAACGGACCCTGTCAAGAATCAAAAATTGTACTTTGGGGAAATTGCCCCCATGGAGCCCCAGTGTATGACAGCCTAAAGGTACCTCCAATATTATTGGATTTCATACTAGAAATATGGCGATACATGCGACGCCATAGTTCTAGTTTCGTCTTTCCCACACAGAAAGAGTTGCAGTCACAAGTGAGTAAGTAAATCACGCATTTACCGTAACTGTGTTTTGTTCTTTGTAGGACCGCAATTACCGCAATGTTTAGGAGTAAACTTCTCACCATTGGGTAGTGAGATGGACTTTTTAGTGTTATATATACCGACAGTAATTGCATCCTCCACAAGTGAAAGTCCCCAGAAATTTTCAGGGAACTTGGTTTTTCTGATGTTGATATTCACTTTGGACCAAGTGATCTTTTAGTGAGTTGGCTCGCTTAAAAGTGAAATTGGGAATATCTGATACAAACTGATTGATGGCGGGATCAATTGTCAAAAGATGCCAATATTTCTGCACAATGCGCTTAAATTGAGTGTGTTGGTTAGAATAAATTCAATAAAGCGCCAATTGTCAATGGCTTTTTGGGAAAGAATATGTCGACTGCATGTTAAACCTTTGGAATGTGTTATAGAGCTATATAGTGCCTCAATGTCAAGGGCTACCAAGAAAGCTGTGGGAGAGACTTGAAGTCCATCAATAATTTGAAGTAGGTGAATGGTGTTTTTGACATAGTTGGGTAAGATGGTAACATATGGTCTTAAGTGATCATCTATTAGTTTGCTCAAGTTTTCAGTTAATGAGCCATTCCCTGAAATTATTGGTCTGCGGGGAGCTAAGATTCGATCTTTATGCACTTTAGGTAGGGAGTATAATGTCGGATTATGGGGAAAACTTGTTCTCACAATTCCCACTGACTTTTTGGTGATGACACCATTCAGATAAGTCACATCGATAAATTGATAGAATTTGTCTTGGAATTTATGGATTACCGTAGTGGAGATCGGGCGATACCACTCTTTGTTTTGAACAATTTTGTAGCACATAGTTAAATATTGTTTGTTATCCATGATTACTACATTACCTCCCTTATCTGAAGGTTTTATGGTAATATTATGATTGGCTGCTAGATTGTGTAGTGCTTATTTTTCTTGCAAAGACATGTTTCTTTGGGAAGAGTGGATCTTAAATTGATTAATTTCCTGGCTTACTAATCTGGCAAAGGCCGCCACATTGGGGTTAAGGCTTAGAGAGGGAAATGTGTCCGATATTGTTTTGTTAGTACTAACATTTGTATTTGTTGGAGAGAACCTAGTTTCTTGACAGTCACAAGACTCAAATTCTTTGAGTATCTCCTCAATGTCAAATCTATCAATGAGGTCTACTGAATCATTTTCCTCAAGCAGTGATATCAGGGTGGCAAGGGCTTCATCTTGCAAATTCGGAGTATCGAGGGATTGATTGATTTTATTTTTCGTATACATAGTTTTTAGAATTAATTTCCTTGAAAAAAAGTTGTATATCTTTAATGGCTTAAAATGTATCCATATTGGCACCGGGACAAAAACTCAGGCCTTTCTTCCCACCATAGAAAATGTCAGTCTAACCTTCAAGGAAGAATGGGAGAATAATCTTAAAATGTGTTCTAGAAATATGATGTCTTTATTAATAGAGGGATATAATTGTAAATTAAAAGAAATTGATAAATAAGTTGACAATATATATTTCAGTTTATTGTCATTCAACAGTCATCCTAAATTTGTCCAATTTGAACGTGATCTTAAAAGTCATATACTGTAGAACAACATACTAAAGAAATACTGATCATCAAGGAAAATAAATTTTGTAGGGATAAATTAGCATTCCGTGATCATAAAGCATATAAATGGCATTCAAGCCAAAGAACTTTTAAAAATAAAAAAATTATGGAATCCCTGATGATACTCATTCTGATTCTTCCCTAGCCTCATCCAATCCTTCTATTGTATCCCAGAGCTCAAATAGGTTCAAAAAATTCCATAAAGGGAAAAGAACCCCTCTCGGGGATAGATCGCTTGTGTCAGGAATGGACTTGCCAATAATGGTGGGACTCACCTGCCTTGTGGGCTGCAGTACCAGGGCTGGCCAGCGGGTGCTCTCAGAAATCAGAGACTCAACCCTGCAGTCAGCCAAAAACACCTGAGGCTGATTGCAGGTGTATTTAAGGGATGGCCAGACCTGCAGTCTGTGCCTTGGTGTGTGTTTTTCTATGGGCCCCTGTATCTTGTTACCTGCGTTCCTGTTCCTGCCTGACTGACTCACTGCCGACCCTGCCTGATCCGGACCTCTGCTGACTTCTCCTGTTTGATCCCTGGCTTGTGACCCCGACCATTCTCTGCCTGACCCCCTGTACCTACCTGCCCATTAGTTGCTGTACCCGGCTCGTGACCTGACTACTCTCTGCCTGCTCCTCCTGTTCCTACCTGCCTGATTGTTATTGACCCGGCCTGCCTGATTACGCTTGCATTGTATGTATTGTTATCTGTGGGTGGTTTGGTTTGGTTCGTTTGCACTGTTATGTTTTTAGTATTGCACTGCGTTTATGTATTATTAGTATTAATAAATTATATAATTTATAACATATCTGAAGCCTGCGTTTCCCTGCGTCAGTTCGCATACCTCTGGTCTTACCCGGAGCTCTGACATTACACCAAGGCCAATCCTGACCAGAAGTGGCTGCACAGGGAAGCCATCTTGGCTTGTTGCTGGGAAGGATGGATCTTGATGAGGTTGTGTATTTGTCGCTGCTGGTTTTTGATGACAGAGAATATGCTTATTCCCGGGATCAACTGCTAGAATGTATACGGATCGCTCATGTTCTAGTAGATCAGGGCACAGAGTTCTCTGAGGTGCAACCTTTGATTCAGGTTTGTGTAGAGTTGGCTTCATCTGGTACCCCTGAAAGCAGGAATGACTTTTTTGCCACCATTTAGTGCAGACCAGGTAAAGTCCCTGGTATGGTTATTAGAGGATGATGTGGATTGCTTCTTGGAGCATTATGCTGCATGTTCACCACAGGTATTAAGGGATTGTATAAACGCAGTGCAGTCTTTGACCAGACAGGCTTTGTGTAAGCTGAGCTTTGTTCAACCCATACTTCAGACATGGTCAGACTTGTTGCACCCAGCCTCAGTCAGCTTACAACGTCATTCCTTCCGCTCAAGGTACTCTTCCTACATCCCCGACAGCACCCCCAGTGACGGCCCAGTATACTCTGCCAACTACCGCATACCAGTCCTCTGCTCCCACTCGCTGCACCTATCCTTTCTTTAACCCTGTAAAGAAGTCCTCTGTAGCAACTGCTCCCTCCTCTGTTCCATCTTCCAGCTCTTCTCTGTCCTCAGCTGCTCCATTCATTTGCAGACCTGCGTTTACTTGCAGTGCTCCAGTAGTTAAAACCAGAAAAAAAGCAAAAATTCTTTCCAACCAGTACCATCCTGCCAGTATCCAAACCGGTGAGCCTGCCATCTGAGAACCTGCCTTCCGTGGTTCAGCCTGGTGCCTCAGCGCCCACAATTCAGCCTGATGTCTTTACCCAGCCTGATGCCTCTACCCAGCCTGATGAACTGATCCAGCCTGATGATCCTATTATGCCAGGTGACTCGGTGCCCGCTGTCTTGTCAGGTGACTCGGAGCCCACTGTCTTGCCAGATGACTTGGTGCCCGCAGTCGAGCCAGACGATCCAATGCCTGATGACCCAGTGCCCGCTGTCGATCCAGACGATCCGGTACCTGATGACCCAGTGCCCGCTGTCATCCCTGGTGACCCGATGCCCGCTGTCGAGCCAGACGATCCAATGCCTGATGACCCAGTGCCCGCTGTCATGCCTGGTGACCCGATGCCCGCTGTCGAGCCAGACGATCCAATGCCTGATGGCCCAGTGCCCGCTGTCATGCCTGGTAACCCGATACCCGCTGTCGAACCAGACGATCCAATGCCTGATGACCCAGTGCCCGCTGTCATGCCTGGTGACCCGATGCCCGCTGTCGAGCTACACGATCCAGCGCCAGATGGCCTGGTGCCTGCTGTCGAGCTAGACGATCCGGTACCTGATGACCCGGTGCCTGCTGTCATACCTGGTGACCTGGTGCCCGCTATCGTGCTAATTGACTCAGAGCCCACTGTCGTGCCTGGTGACTCGGTGCCCACTGCCTTGCCAGATGACTCGGTGCCCGCTGTCGAGCCAAATGACCTGATGCCTGGTGACCCGATGCCCGCTGTCGAGCCAGACGATCCAACGCCAGATGACTCGGTGCCCGCTGTCATGCCTGGTGACCCGATGCCCGCTGTTGAGCCAGACGATCCAATGCCTGAAAACCCGGTGCCCGCTGTCGATCTAGACGATCCGGTGTCTGACCCAGTGCCCGTGGTCATGCCAGTCTGACCCACTGTCGTGCCTGGTGACTCGGTGCCCACTGCCTTGCCAGATGACGCGGTGCCCATTGGCGAGCCAAATGACCTGATGCCTGGTGAGCCAGTGCCCGCTGTCATATCTGGTGACCCGATGCCCGCTGTCGAGCCAGACAATCCAATGCCTGATGACCCAGTGCCCGCTGTCATGCCTGGTGACCCGATGCCCACTGTTGAGCCAGACATCCAATGCCTGATGACCCAGTGCCCGCTGTCATGCCTGGTGACCCGATGCCCGCTGTCGAGCTAGACGATCTAGCGCCAGATGACCCGGTGCCTGCTGTCGTGCCAATTGACTCAGAGCCCACTGCCGGGCCTGGTGACTCGGTGCCCACTGCCTTGCCAGATGACGCGGGTGCCCCGCTGTCGAGCCAAATGACCTGATGCCTGGTGACCTGATGCCCGCTGTCGAGCCAGACAATCCAATGTCTGACCCAGTGCCCGCGGTCATGCCAGTTGACTCAGAACCCACTGTCGTGCCTGGGGGCCCGGCGCCCGCCGCCCCCCCGCCTGGGGGGCCCTGTGCCGCTGCCCGGAGTCCAGCCCGATGTGCCGCTGCCGGAGTCCAGCCCGATGTGCCGCTGCCCGGAGTCCAGCCCGATGTGCCGCTGCCCGGAGTCCAGCCCGATGTGCCAGTCTTTGATATCCCGCCAGTTACCAGACCCGGGCGGGTGGAACATTTTGCCCAGCTAGGACTGTTTGGAGCGTCCTGAGGCCGCTCCTTGAGGGGGGGGGGGGGGTACTGTCAGGAATGGACTTGCCAATAATGGTGGGACTCACCTGCCTTGTGGGCTGCAGTACCAGGGCTGGCCAGCGGGTGCTCTCAGCAATCAGAGACTCAACCCTGCAGTCAGCCAAAACACCTGAGGCTGATTGCAAGTGTATTTAAGGGATGGCCAGACCTGCAGTCTGTGCCTTGGTGTGTGTTTTTCTATGGGGCCCCTGTATCTTGTTACCTGCATTCCTGTTCCTGTTCCTGCCTGACTGACTCGCTGCCGACCCTGCCTGATCCGGACCTCTGCTGACTTTCTCCTGTTTGATCCCTGGCTTGTGACCCCGACCATTCTCTGCCTGACCCCCTGTACCTACCTGCCCGTTAGTTGCTGTACCCGGCTCGTGACCTGACTACTCTCTGCCTGCTCCTCCTGTTCCTACCTGCCTGATTTGTGGTGGTTTATGTAAGGATTTATTCTACTTATGAAGGGCGGTGTCCCTTTCCCTTAGATAAAATATTACAGTGCCTCCAGCCATTAAAATACGGCAAATATTTAATGAACCAATAATTTGGACACCTTAATAATTTGATCGCCACTTATTATTATACCTTGAGTCCTTTTAGCCAGTATGATTTCGTACTATATACACAAAAATTGTCTTATAATAAATAAATATATAAATTTATTTATGTACAAAAATCATATATATATATTAACACAAAACGCAAAAGACTGGTAATAAATGGATACTGGTACACACGATCAAAGATATACTACACCAATATTATACACCAAACATTTATTTCTAAATGATAATAAAGGTTACAATAACATTTTGTGATATATGGTAATTTAGAGTATTTCAGAGGTTATTTCTCCCAAAACGTGGCCATAGAAATGGGAGAAAATATTCCCTGATAAAATATACTCTAACCAATAAAAATTAATTATTTATGCAATATGTAAATTTTTTAATATGACACCAAACAATTTCTAGCAGTAATAATATGGATCTTCCTATATATATATATATATATATATATATATATATATATATATATATATATATATATATATATATAAACCCAATGCAGTTATCACTCTAATGTAATTCTTATCACTCTAAGCAACAGAGGAAATATGCAATACAATATTAGATCTAAACAGTCTCACCACACCCAGAACCTGGGTTATGACGCCTCCCCAGTGGATTCAGCTGGCAATGGAAACGCCTTCAGGGATGACCGCAGGGGGCAAGTGAGAGTGCAATAGGCAGTGATGTTGGAAAATGTAGGAAGTTAAAGGTACAGAGATTTAGAAGTTTAGTAAAAGTTTTTAAAAGTTTGAAAGGATTAAGTAGTGGTTCTTCAGAAGGGATAGATTTCAGCCTTGTCAGATTTCTTCAGCTTGCTGTTCTCCTTTGGTAGCTTGTTTCTTTTTGTGTTTTTTTTTTTTTCAGCTTGTTTTTTTTTAAATGAGGTGCATGGCTTTTTTATACCATCCAAACCATTGTTCTAAAAGACCCTCCCAACAGGCTTTTTGATTGGTCGGTCAAGAAGTGTATGTACCTAAGCTATCTCTCACCTGTCCACTAGGGGGCAGTCAGGGATCACAAAACAATTTGAGTATTTATGATGAATCATACCTCGGGTGGAACCCAAGGTGATTTTAGGTATTAAATAGACGTCTCATCCAAATATATATTTGATTATACCTATAATGTCCTGGATAGGAACCATAGAAGATATATGTGTATTCAGTTATTCATTTCCCTGAGGTTTAAACTTGGGTGAAAACATTTGCTTTCTGATAGAAATATACAACTGATACCAATTCACAATATATCTTACTTTTCACCATTTCATACTCAATTTAGTGGTATACAATCCCCAACTCTGCTGAATATATTTTTGTTTGAGAAAGAGTGTGAATAATGTGTCTTTCTTTTAATGTCTTTGTGGGTAAAAAAATAAGTTCTGAGTTTCAACTTTTTGGTCTTAAGAATGACACAGGAAACCGCTGCTTACGTGTCCATTGTAAAGATAATAGGGTAAACAACCAGTTCTCCTTGTAACCTTCCTTTGAGATATCTGTTGGCTTATCACTCTCTCCAAGGTTTTGTTTAATCTTCTCAGACTTACAAGTATGGTCTTATGTATTGTTAACTTGGTTGGTGTGGTGATTCACTGTTTGGAAGTCCAACGTTGTATTTGACTGTCTAATTAACTTTTTTGTAGGTGCAATCTCCTCAACTCTAATAGACAAATAGCATTTGTTGAGAATATATACTTTAGCTAGTCTTATAGTCACCAACCTAAGCTCTCAGGATTGTCTGTCTTGGGACCACCTGTAGATATTCAAATAGTCTATTGTCTCTGGAAAGAGCCCCTTCTACTCATTGTGTTTGTAATTTCACTAGAAGGTCATTTGAATTCTAACCAGGAAAAGTTTACCCTTAACAGACGGCTGGGCTGGTTTGCTGTTGGAATGAAATTATGTTTTTGATAGTCCCCAAAAGTCACTACAGATTGTTATTGACCCGGCCTGCCTGATTACGCTTGCATTGTATGCATTGTTATCTGTGGGTTGTTTGATTTGGTTCGTTTGCACTGTTATGTTTTAGTATTGCACTGCGTTTATGTATTGTTAGTATTAATAAATTATATCATTTATAACATATCTGAAGCCTGCGTTTCCCTGCGTCAGTTCACATACCTCTGGTCTTACCCGGAGCTCTGACAGCTTGATCCAAGAAGCGTACTACTGAACAAGCACCTCTCAATGGTTCCAATAGTGACTTCACAGACATAGGAGGTAATGCAAGCAATGATGATTGTATCACCACTTGTTGGATTTTTAGACACATATAATACTTCTTCTAGTGTCTTGAGGCGATTATGAATGAAAGAGCCATTGAAATAAAAAAATGAAGTGTGATTTTATTCTATCACACAATGGTGTAAAAATAACAATGTAAAGCGTATTATGAACAGTTCCATGTAGATAAAACTACTGTAAAAATGACAAGCAAACGTTTAAAACAAAGTCACCATTATCTGTCATGGCTGTCCTTGCCATGTGCGATTCTCACGTCCTTGTCCAACACAGAGTCCGAGAAAGAAAGAGCCGGACGTGATGTTAATGATGATCTCTTGTCTTGCAGCACCTGTTCCAGCATCTCATCCGTGTGTGTACGTGTATGTCAAAGTGTCAATATTAGTGTGTGAGCGTGAGTGTCTCCTTGTCCGTTCTCTCATGGACTTTTAAGAGGCAAATGTACGTCATAGTTAGTGATCTTAATACCTTCTATGGAAATTATTACTGCTTAGCAAAGCCATTTCATATAAGGAAAGGATGCTATACATATGATGTTTGATGGACAGGAACATATGTATGCTGATATACCAATGATGTAACCCTCAGCTATATATAAAGAACAGTATAGCTTAAGAACATATCAATGTATAATCACTAAACTATATATGTATCAATGTTAGAAACGTATACTAAATACTCACAGATACTATTAAAATACATACTGTAATAGTAAGTCACTTCTAATAACCTTGACATAACTACCAGATACTTTTAACCAACTATATCTAAATATAGTCTTCAACTATCAGTTGGTATATACTATCTCAGCTTAACTTGTATATCTTTTGGTCTCAGCTATAATTGAAGAATAGTAAATACTACCATTTGTCAAAGACCACTTACACATATTAATATTAATTATGACTAATCATAAAAACCAAATATTTTGCAAGCTTGCCATCAATATAAATGCCGAATCATAATTTAGATTTAGCACCACTCTTCCT